GCGGCACACCATGCTCCTGCATGAGTGAACTGCCAAATTTTTGTTTGACTGGTTCGAAGTACGTGACCGTCGGAGTTGCGGAAACGTTTGGTCTGAAATTGTCCACGTGTGAAAATGTAAATAAAACCCTCAAGCCAGCTCTGCTGTGTTCGGCGTGACTCCAAGACCAGATAGGCCAGCGGAGTCGCGGATGGAGAGTGGGTTCACAATTGGTAACGCCAGCAGGTGCGACAAGATCGTGCCATAGAAACGAGCCAATCGCACGAGAGTATGGCCAGTTGCGCTACCAAATCGAAAGCAAAACGGTAACGCCACAAAATTCACCATCGCCAAAAACATGAACGACAATGGTATGGGACATAAGGTGGTGGAGAGAAGAATTGTGATCCGTTCCCTCTCGGATAATACCAGCAAGCGCGCTGGTAGTCATTTTGCGTCCGCGTGCCTGCGACAAACGCCAGAGGAACGCGCTGATTCCCCCCGGGGACCTCCCTTGCAACTGAATGGGCCCCCAAAGAAACGCCGAATCCCCCAAGGCAGGCCAGCAGGTCTCACAGGCATGGCAGGCAAACGCGCAATAGACCCCACGAGTGGCTCCAATCGCCGTGACGAACGAGCCACGCAACAACAACATGCAGGAATGGGCAGCGACACTCCGCACCAAGCATCAGCAAACAACCAACACCAAACAGTAACGAGCAGCCGCAGACCCCATCAACAGCAACAACGGCAAGCTGCGCATGCAGCCAGTTAACGGGGCCTCCCCCGCTGTAGCCGAAGCGTGCTCCTCACTACTCTCGCTCTGAGGAACCCCTGCTGGTTGGAAGAAGACTTCGAGCGCGTCACCCACGGACGAGCCAGAGGAAACCCAGGCCAGGTGCCGACGGCCATTCCCGCCGAGGGCGACCCCAGGATTCCCCAAACGTGTCCCTCGAGGCCCCAAAGTGAACCCAAGAGAGCCTAAGATGCCTCAGCGAGGCCCCCCAAAGAACGGTAGCGGGATGGATCGCAAGCCACCAGCTCCGCCGCCCACAGTGGCTTACCACAGGGGTGCACGGCGTGCCAGATGTTAGGTAACGAGCCTTCGGCTGATCCCGACGGCCACCAAGAACGGTGCGTAAAAAGCGTAAGCAATATCTCCATCGGCTTTCTGTCCCATAAGGACCAGTAGAATTCCCAGATCGTCGGCCTCACCACACCTGACGACCCAAGATGGCTTCCGAGACGGCTCAGATGGTCTCCAAGTCGGCTACGACCCCTGGATGGCCCTAGCCTGGACGACTGCCCAGCGAGGGGCCAAAGCGGCCTGTAAAGGCCAATGAGCCTCCCAGACGCCCCAAGAGGACCTCCAGGAGGCCAACGTTAAGGATTGGCCTTTATTTTTTGTGATTTTAGAATTCGCACTATTGTCGGGCATCCAACGCTCCAAGACGAGCCCGCAATCTCCCAAAATCGCTCCAAGAACCCCCAAGAGGCCCGCAAGATGCCACCAGAAGGCCCAAGACAGCCCACGAGGCCCCCAAAACGGCCCCACGGCGGCCCCATTGACCTCTAAGACGGCCCTACGCCCCAAAGAGTGAACCACGACTGCCCAGGGAGGGCCCAAGACGACCTCTGAAGGCCAAGAGACCCCTTCGAAGCCCCACGAGGGCTCCAAGAGGACCTCCAGGAGGCGAGCATCATTGATTGTCTCGCGGTGTTTCAATGATTTTAGCGGTCTCCCCTTTTCGGGCTCCCAACGCTCCAAAGACGGACCCATAGGCCCCCAAGATCGCCTTAAGAGGGCCCCAAGAGGCCCGCAAGGGAGCCCCAGGACAGCCCAATCGGCCCCCAAGACGGCCCCAAGGCTGCCCCAGATACATCCAAGACAGTCCCACCGCGGGCCCAAGACTGCCTCCGAAGGCCGTGATGTCCCGTAGAGGCCCCCACAGAACCCTAAGAGGCCCCTCTGATCCCTTCCCCGCCGGTGGGTGGGTGGGGATCCTAAGGGGGGGTCCTGGGTCAGCATAACATTCTTCCCGAGGGGTCCTGGGGCTCAAGTCCTGGGGCCCCCAAAAAGCCCCAAGAGGGGCCAAGAGTGCCCCAAGAGGCCCCCAAGACGGTCCAAGAGGGCCCGAATCGCCGAGACGCCTAAGATGGTCTGGAGACGGCCCAAGACGCCTCCAAGACGTCCCAAGAGGTCTCCAACAGCACTCCCAAGAGGGTCCCAAGAGACTACACAACATGCATGTACTTCCCATACGTTTCGAAATGTGTTGGCGTTCTCGCCTTTTCCTTTTCCCTACGCTCCAAGACGGTCTGCGCAATAGGCCGTAAATATCGCCCTAAGATGGTCCAAGAGGCCTTGAAAAGGGCCCCAAAACGGCTGAAGGGGGCCCCAACAGCCACAGTTTAGATGCCCAGGCTCCCAAGAGCCCCAGTTGACGGAGTACCTTGATCTAAACGAGCCTGTGACGTCAACAAACTCGAACGCTGCATCGACGCGGGCGTCTCCACCACCGCGCGCACCAATTCCCAGAATCCATATGACCCCCCCGAAATTCGCTCCTCGGTGTGCGAAGCACGTCCTGTGCATGCCTTAACAGGCTGATCTTCTCTGCTTCGTCACGAATGCTCTTCTTGCCTGTGTGTGCCTCTCGGTGAGGATACAGAGCTGGACGTTTCGAATTCACAGTCGGACAAGTCCCAAGGGCTCCAAGGGGTCGGCGGTGCGACGTAAGCCTTAGAATCAAGCATCATGGGGACAATACACAAGACAAAACAGCGTACCCCTCAAATTTCATATGCAACGAGCTCCCCTGACTGCCCGGGGTTTGGCACCCCCATTGGTCAATTGTCCCCGCACCGCAGGCAAAGCATAGCAAATCATACTTGGGATCCCCAGAAAGCCCGCGGCATGTCCCTCTGTTGACTGCGAGTTCCGCCCCAAACATTCCCCACATCAACTACCCACGACGCCCAAAACTATGATGGAGCACGCCTGAAGCATTGGGGGGAGCATCGACGATGGAGGCGCCAGCCCGAGGAGTCAATTAAAAAATAGTTCAAGCGTCGACTCGGCATACGCTTGCGCGTTCGTGCCGCCAGAGACTCTGGAGCGACGCCCCGGGGCGGCTTTGACAGTCGGCGCCTCGCCGAGGCGAACGATCAGATCCACCACAACGCTTGCGGTCGGAAGCTGCGCGTCAGGTACAGACCCCCAAGCAGTGGACTTAAGTCAGAGTCGGGCATCAAGACATGCCAGCGACTAACATTCAGAAAGGAATCTTCAAGTGTTTCGCGGTCCAATTGCAGTACTTGTGCTTCTACAACACGCACGATTTTATTTCTTACAGCGCGCCGCGCGAGGACCATTGAGGCCCTTGGCCCCCCCATGTGGCCCGCTAGTTGCAAAACACAGCGATGTTCACGAGGTGGCCCCTCCAGGGCCCCCAGACGACCCGCGCCCAGCCAATCGACGGCCTCGCCCCCAGCCCCCCGAAGCCCAAACCCACTAGAAACACATCATGCACCCATGCTCATAATTTCCTCCACCCGGAATCCTCGAACTTGCCCCAAGGACACCGCGGACCCCAAAGCGCCGAGGCACCCCAAAAAAACCCTTCATGATGCCCCGAAAACGCCTGCGAAAAACATGTCGATATCTGTGCAGCGTCACATCTGCGCCGCACCACGGCGTGGCTGCGCGGCGTCCCCGAACCTGGTTGCGGTCATGCGCGACAGCGCAACAGGACAGGGGCACGACGGCCCGCTTTTGAAAACAATCGTAGGCGCGCGAACAGCCTAGCCCCACCCCTCCCCTCGTTAATCGTGTCTCCCGCCTCCTTCCTCTCCGTCATTTCCCCCCTACTGCTGCTCTTAAGACTGCTGCTGATCTTCCTCTCTTCCCGAGGCAGTCGGTTACACACGGGAGAGATCCTAGACAAGGGTGACTCGGCGCGCGGCTTGCAACTCAACGCATGCTATGCGGCAATACTGGAGCGGCTTGCGTGTTTGGGTTTGCCCATCCCCCCTCCCGCGTTCCCCAAGACGGCCGCCCACCAAAGGCCTCTCCAGCGGATGGCCGCTCATACGCACAGGCGAAGCAAGGAGGAAGCCAGGTCAACTGGGACGCCCCCAGGATACCCGAATGCGAGCATCGGAGGAAAGCCAATCGAGACATCGGCGGCTCTCCCGTCTGGCCCACATCCGCTCAACACCGGTCCCCGGGCCACTTCTGGGGTACATTCTGACCAGTTTCGAGGCGGACTCAGCATTTGCGACGTAAGGCTTCCAGGAGGCCCAGATAGAACGAACAACACCAGATAGTCTTGACTGGCGCTCTCCTCCGAGAGCAGCAGGCTTGCAGGGTGAAAAATGCATCGCCAGCACATGCTTCGCTGGCGGGGAACTCCAGGCGACTGCCCTCAGGGTCAAAGCAGAAACCTGGACCATCGCCACCGAGAATCGGTTGGGGGGTGGGAAGACCCCTGGGCGGTGGTGCGCCCGAGCGTCGTCCTGCACTGGGTGACGCTCAAGCGTGCCACCGCCCAGTGGCCGCGACCCCCTCCCCGGTTCTCGGTGGCGGTGGCCCCTGTTTCTCCCCTGGCACGTCGGTGCGGCCATCTTCGGCGGCGCGCCTCAGGGGGTTGCCGCCTGAGGGGCGGCGGGCAGAGGCGGTGCGGGGGGGGCGCATTTCCGTTCCATTGCTGAGGGCTTGCGCCGCTAGGCCGATGCGAAATTGCCGTATCGCTGCCCTGACCCAGCCGGTGGCGCAGGGCTGGGAGCCCTCACCGGTCCCCATCGAAGGGCCTGCTGCGCCTACCCGCACTATCCGCGGGGGGGCCCTGGGGCTCGTGTCCCGCGGGTTCGTCGAGGTCACTTTTTTGTTATGTTACCAGCCGCAAGATAGTGCGGAAACGGCCAGGCGCTGGTCGGGCCAGACGGAGGGGCGCGCCGAAACAAGTTGGGGCGAGGTGGGAAAAGGGGAGGAGCGAAGTGGAGGCTAGGAGAGGGCCCGCTCAGATCGTGCAGACCTCCGCGGGGTGCCGCCGAGGGCGCGCGGCCTGCGTGGCGAACAGCGGGAAGCAGGAGCCGGAGCTTGAAGGAGAAACACTCGGGAAGGGCACGTGGCGACCGAGTAGAGCTGGGGAGAGCACAGGACGTGAAGGAGGCCTGCAGCGCAGTGAGGGCCGGGCGGGATCCTGACGCACTGGAGTGGTCCAGAAACGGCGGGCGGCAACGCAGCGAGGGCCGACGCCGAAGACCAGGAGGAGGGCCCTGCAACGGTACATGACCATGAAGTGGTATATCAGGGGGACGTAAGACCTGGGTACAAGGGACTCGGAAATCCTCGACGAGGTCGTCAAAAAAATGACGAGGCCGAGCCTGCATTTTGACGAGGCCTCCCGCTGCAGACATCCCACGAAACTCCTCCTCGCCAAAATCCGAGGCGCGATCGTCAAAAAACGATGGCGAACCCAAGTCCTGGCAAACCCGGGTCTTACGCTCCCCCGAGTATAGCACAACAGGTGCCCGAAGTGTGATGCCCAATGCGAGCTCAGGAGACTCCGCGTGGGGAGCCCAGAAGAGGGGCCCAACTAAATTTGATCAGGCAGGCGCGCTGGGTGACGGCCCGGGTATTTGCACTCGGGAAGGGAGACGCACGTGGCGCCAGAACGGCGAAGGAAGTGGACGGGCCAGCGGACTCAAGGCTGGGACCACCCTTGCCGAACAGTACGAGGAGGACCCGTGCCGAACTCCAACAGGATGGCAGCGCGGGCGGGGCCGAGGGGGGGGAGCAACGGTGGGGGCGGCGCCAGGGCGGCGCGGCCGGGGAAGGGAGTGAGGCGGAGGGAGATTGGCCGAAAAGTCTACAGCACGGGGAGAAAGACGAACAGAAAGACAGGCGAAAAGCCGACTCACCGTACGACAAGCTGGGTCGCTGGGTAATCAGGGTAACTGGAGTGAGGCGAAAAACCCAAACGCGATTGTGAACGATGAGAACGTGAAGGGCCACGCGCCAAGGGCTCAGGGCAAGGTGATCGGCTGGGCACGGGGGCGCTGGGATCCCATGCAGAACGCTGATCGCTCGTCATTGAGGCCTTGTTGTGCTCCAACTGGTCGCGCTGCGCGGAAAAGGTGCCTATTCTGATGCGAGTCGCAATCTTGCCATGGCTCTTCCCGGCGGCGCTCTCTGTTTGTCGAGCCCTGTCCTCCTTAGCACTGCGGGTCCCAATTCGCCAAATCCCGAAAGTTAATCGCGTCTTTCGAAAACCAGCGCGATTGGTCAGGTCCAGCCGACGTGTTGGCAGTACGAATGTCAGGCCGCCGTGAGCATGTAGCCTGCCTCGTTCTGCAGCCTCTAGACGGCCACCTGCTCCGATTCGTCTGGCAGTAGTACCCAGGAGATCTGGGTAAAGGGCGTCCTGTGCAAGGTGGGAGGTTGCGGCCGCTCCCTGTGGGCCCCTCGTTCGAGCTGCCTTGCAGCGTCGGTCCTGTCATCCCAGGTCCACCATCCGTGACGGTCGCCACGCGAGGAATGCTGAGAGCCTCAATCGCACCTGCCGTCCGGAACTCGCCCTGTGGGGTTTCCTGGGGCCTTATATCGTCCAAGGTAACTGGGCTGGGGCCCGGAGGGGCCCAGGGCTCCATCTGGCGCTTGGGCGCTGGAAGCCTCTACATGATCGTCGCCTTGTGGGGGTCCTGCGGAGACCCGTCAAATACAAACTCGAGGTCCTCGGGATCCAAGCTGGGCGTGATCACGTGGGCGGGACCGCGTGGGGCCTCCGTGAGGGTCACCTGCCTGGCCGAGCGTTCCTTAGATGAGACATCGACGCTGAGGGCAGGACACTGGTGTCCTGAGGCTTCGTCGCTGGCCTGAGCCTGGCTGTGTCGCGGCGACCGGGGAAACGGGAACCTTGAGCGGGCTGCTATGGTTGGGTCTGCGGAGACCACGCCATCGCCATCCTGGGTAGTGGCAGAGTTTGACTGGGCCGTCGAAGCGTTCGTGGCTGGCGGGCCGTTCTTGGGAATTGTCTCGCCTGCCTTGCCAAGGACGCGCCTCGCGGGCTCGTCACTTGGTGTTTGTTCGCTCCTGGATGGCTGATTGGACAACATCCACTTGCACGGCGGTGGTGGAACTTGCGCGGCCCTATTACGCTCGAGCCCAGCGAATGATGACCAGCGGGAGCCAAGAGGCCACGCTCGCCAATCCTATCTCACGGCGCAAGAAATCAGCGAGGACGAACCGGTGAGGACACACTCGCCAGGGACCACCCCTCTGTGTGCCAGGGCGGCCGTCACCTCGTTTCTGGCCTCAGCGCGGTCGGTTCTCTCTCCCTCGCCTCGGGGTTCAGGGCGTGCAATCCCTCGGCGCCCCTCGCATGCCAACTTGAACGGGGTTTGCCAAACTGGCCTGGCTGGCCGATCGGCGAGGAACGCCGACTGGCCCGCACCTTCGCTGCACTCTCTCCTCCTCTCTTCGCCACCCGCTGTTTGTTTCCCTGTCCTGCTCTTTGGTGGAGCAGGACCAGCTCATCCGTCCTCGCCCCCTTTGGCTCGGGTACGCTTTTCTGTTTGCTTGCCTCTTTCTCCTCCTTGCCCCCGATCCCCCGCGCGAAGCATGGACACCCGCCATCCCGCCGGCGCCTCATTCCTGCTGTCTGGTTGCACGGAAGGGTGGTCATCCTTCAGCGCCATGGCCAAGTCTACTGGCCCACCTGACCCCTCGCGGTGGGCTTGCTCCCTTCTGGGTTCACGCCACCTGGTTCGCTCGAGGTGGGCTAATCACACGGCGGGGTGGCACCCCCGTCCCAGCCTGATTGGCATTGCAGCGGCGCCGCTCTCTTGTCCCCAGTTGCCGCTTCCCCCTGCCAGGGGGGCGAATACTTTGCCAACTCATCGATGGTGCGGGCTCTTTCTTGGCCCTGCTGATCGGCAAAATGTGTTCGCGATCGTTTCGTAGCTGTCCTCCTTCGTCTTCTTCGTGTAGTAAATAGTCTCGTGCCCACGTTTATCTTGAGTGTTGGCGATGTACCCTTAAAGGCCATTGCTAAATTAATATGACGGCGTCCGTTAGGCTCAGGCTAGCAACCGGCCGGGCGGGGGAAGGCGCCAGGGAGGGCGCCGGGCGGGCGGGCCGCAATCTTTGTCTTGAACCAACCCACAAGAGCTGCGACGAAGCTGCGGGTCAGAAGTGGGCGCGGGGGCATGACTAAATCAACTCCCCCCGCGGCCGGCCAGGCGAGCTCTACTCGCGCGGGCGGGCGAACCTGTTAGGTATCGACCCGATGTTTTAGATGAGCGTCTTGGCACGTAGCGCCCCGCAGACGGTCGCCCCTCCGTCTGGCTCGCCGTGCGAAAGACGCGGGTGCATCGCGCCCATGTGCCGCGGCTAATCAATCCATCCCTTTTGCGCGTACTTGAGCCGCAAACATCAATCTCGAAGGTCGAAGGGGTACTGTCGGCATTGCCGCTTTCACCCCTCGTTCTCTTCCTCTCGCACTCACCTGCGATCGCGCGAGCCCCAGCTGTCATTGCGCCAGCTGTCCGAGCTCATGTCCACGATGACCGCCAATTCGCGGCGCCTCTCTGCCACGGGGTGAAAAAATCCGCAGTCTGCTGCTCCGCGTCGGCGCACGCGCGCCATAGGCGAGACGCCCGGTCTCCATCTGCCCCGCGCCGCGCTGCGTCCGCCTCAGCGCGCCGCGGACCAACCTGATACCGACGGCCACGGACCGCAGGAGGCCGCGCAGTAGGCATGGAACTCGAAGAAGCTGCCCCAGCACTGCGGGGCGCGTCCCGCTGCGATGGGTTCTCAGCCCGGCGCCGCCTGGATTCTTGTTGATCATGTGGCTCTCGGCTGCTTGGCTTCTTTGATCCCTTGCCGCTGCTCTCGTTGTCCTTTCCCTTGCCCGCGACGTCGTCCGCCGCCCTCGCCGCCGTAGAGCGGCCCTCAGGCTTCGCAGAGTGTGGCCGCTTGGCGCCCTTGGCAGATGGCTCGCGAGATGGCGCAGCAGCCCCGACATAGTCGGTCGGCGCGCCCGCGCTCGTTGCCCGCGCCTTCGGCATAGGGGCCCCGCAGAACTCTGCCCGCGGCCAATTGTCCGTAATCTCCGCCGCCGCGGCAGCCTGCAGACTGGCGAGCCGTTCAACGCCCCGCGTTCCTGGAGCCGTCATGCACCGCGCGGGCCATCCGCAGCGTGGTTCCTCTTGGTGACGCTCAGCTGGATGGGTGTAGTCCCAGTCGAAGGGGTTCAACATGGAATATAGAGGAAAAAGAACTATGCACATGCACCGATTCTGGCCAGGCCCATCCTGAGCCCAGGATCGGTGCATACGCCCTCCTACTTTGGCCAGGAAGGCACATGCACCGATCCTGGGTCAAGGATGGGCCTTGCCAGGATCGGTGCATGTGCATAGTTCTCTTCGCCCGAGAACAGTCATCCTCACTCATCACCCTCCTGCTGATGCATGGCCACCACTCCTACGGGGAACCACCGCTCCCTTCCCTGTCGCCGGCGTGCCGAGGTGGATGTTCCGGAACTTGATCCACCTTCGAGACAACGTCCTCCTCTCTTCGAGCTTGTAGGGACTCTGCGCCGCAGGTTCTTCGTCTGGAGACGAGTGTGCAACCGGGCAAAGACGGCCATGATGTTGCCGCGGAAAGCAGTCTTACCTTGTAGGGTGTCGTCGTAGGGCAATTCCCGCAGCATGGCCTTCTTTCCACTTGTTGCGCGTCCTTGCCTGTGCGCGATCGGCGTCTGCCCCAGTCCATCTCTTTGCTCCTGGATCACGGACATAGCCCAGGCGAGCTGTCATAGTTTGGCCGATATCCTTGTAGACGACCTTCGGCTGATGGCATCGGCATCGGAAATGCGGGCCCCGTGCTGCAAGGTAGCCCGGCACGCAAAACGCGTCAGCATCCCGATCCGATCGCGGCAATCATTGCCGCGCAGAGGATATCCGTCGCCGCGCAAGTTAGGCGCGCACAGCGCGTCCTTCTTCTCCGCGGGGGCGAGCTCATCGCCAATGACCTCGTCGGGCATGCGATGCAGCTCGTAAT